AAGGCACCGCTGCTTGTGAATCGTGGATAGGGGTTGTGGGTAGGCTTAGGGGCGGATGAGTGATTACTTAGGGTCAGGGGAGAGGTTCGGGTTGAAGGGAATTATAGCTGAGGATTAGGGTTGTACATAGGGCTAGATGCTCTGAAAAAAAGACTGCCTATGTAACTACGCAGATTTTACTACTGATGTGTGATCTTAACTTTACCTATGACTGTATGTGCAAGTTCGTGGACGCCAACCCGTGTTTCAAAACCATATCAGTAATTGACATACCTTTTATCCAGATAATACCAATCTCCGTTCCTTCTTAGACATAAATCTATGGGCACGGTGTTTGTTTGATATCCGCGCGTCTTCACGGAACTCATTCAGCATATTAATATAATTGTGGGATCACGCTACACGTCGAGAGCGTCTTGTTGCATCGTCAAATTTCGTCACAAAACAGTGTTGCACATCCGGATGCTGACGCGGTAACTCTTGGTCTCAACACTGTACCTGATAAACATCTGGCCTTTGCCCAATACGCGTGTGAGATCTTCTTCGGCGTTGGTTTACCATACACATCGAGTCAAAAATAATGAGGATACGCAGATCGGGGGCTTGACTTACTAGGACCTAGATCGACGATGCAAGCTGTAAGTTTTTAGGGTCGCATTTCAGATAATATTTTGAGAACTTGACCGTGTTTCAAAACGACGCGGGACTTACTTACATATGTTTTGAGTAACGCCAGGCTTAGTTATGCTCTATGCATGCGCCCGAAACTACCATCTGACGCTTGTTTTAGGGCCACGCTAGCCTATTTTGCTACTCTAGGTGAGCTGCATACTCGACTCACTCACCAACGCCATCAACATGGACATGCCAGATAAAGTGCTCTGAGATAAAAAGCAAGAATTATCATATTTTTCCTTCGCTTGAATCTCACTCGCGAGACATCTGCCACTATTCTGACAAAGTAAATGAAGTATCAGTTTCACTTCTGTGCTTCGCTGTTGTAGAATTGTCTGTACCTCGTACTGAAGTCCACGCTAGCCAGCGCACAGATAATGTACACCTCACTGAGTCTGAAAGAATCTTTCAATCCATTTAGAAGTATTTTTTGTCTACGGTTAGGCTAGTTAATACAAAATCTATCAAGTTTACTATGTGCAGTAAAAAAAATATGTGTATTGCATAGTGTGAGGCTATCGACACTCGTGTCCCACAATATCTCCTCTTTTCCGTTCACTATCTATTTCATCCGTACCAAAACTTATCAAAATGCTTCATCGTCGTATCATACTTGGATATTTTTCATACCGCTCTAAGTCCGAGGCACAATTGTAAAGGGTGTACTAACACCAAAATACAGTGCAATTTAGAGACGACCCAAGCGTCGTTCAAAGCGCGCTGACGTCGTAAAGCGTGTAGATGGATGTATCAACCATTCTCGCAACGGCGGTCTTCGTCGTGCATTTGGTGGTGTGTGTATTGACAGCGTCGCCGGTAAGAAACAAGATGTGCTCTCTTCTTGTATTATAACTATATTGACTGTGGTCGTAACCACAACAAGCCTTTGTGACGCCAAGCAATCCTTTCCTACATACATTCAGAAATGTAATTTCAATACTCCCGCCCAGGTACGTGTTTGGGCACTGGATTGATATTTTTCTCACTTGGCTGTCGCAGAATCTTGAGCTTTGTGTTCTTGACCGCTTTCGTGAGCATGTCAGTATTATTAATGCCGATAAAGCCAAAATGTGTTATTTCATGGCTGCGCATAATCCTTGTATGAAATGGTGCCAGTTATCTACATGCTTTGTCCAAGCGTGGGAATAAGCATTACTCGCCAAGTGTCTTTCTACTTGATTACCATACATACATGTCGGCCTCCACTTTGCTCATGATACACATCTAAAACTTTCAAAATGCACGATCTAAAAGACATACGCTCAGTTTTTGCGGAACTACAAAAACTCGAGCACAGCCGCCTTCCTTTATTTATCAAAGTACTTAGCACACTATTTCTGTCGTCGGTATTAGTACGCCATTTCCACTGCCACCTTGGTACTTAAAGCGTAGGCAAGAACAGCTTCGGCAAAGCATCCTTCATCATCATTCCTTGCGCACATTATTGTGTGCTTTGTGTCTCTTGTTTAATTTCTTTGGCATCTGATCCGTTTGTCAACATCAATAGAGACCCACTCAACGTCTGAAGCGTTCATCTTCAGGTTATGATTCTAGTCGATCCTCTTGAAGCGTTTCAGCTGGACCATGGTACGCCAATCGATTCTCCTGCCTTGGATATACTTACTTCTCAGCCTGGTATGCATCGGGGCCAGCAATTAGGGCGCTTAAGCTTTAATTTGTCTCGATCTTCCATTCAAACGCCTGAAGTGTATTTCTTGCTATATCATTTCGATCTTTCTCGAGTTTTGTCGGCTTAAATGCTGCATTGTCATTTTTGGTTAGATGAACCAGCGTTTTTTGTCTAGTGAGCACACCGCTATTCAATTGGCATCTCGTGGACACAGTGCCCGTAGGTGTGCTTGACATAACAAATTAATATGTAAGTTAAAGACAATAATCTCGAGCGTCATACTCTTTACATGATCACCGCGCTCCCAAGCCATCACTTCCAGGTCTCAATCAAATTCCAACTCAGATGGGGTTCTGCCTGATTGCACTGGGCTAGGTGTCGCTTGTCCAAGCACCCTGCAGTACTGGCCGCCTTTGCTAATTAAAAGGCCAGAGCACACTTAAAATGTAGTATTGTCTGACTTTTAATAATTGTGTGATTAATTCGCAGCCAGTATGTATATTTGTGGAACGAGAAACAATTTATTTCTTTTCCTGTGAATGATGCAGAGACCGAGTTATGTAAAATTCGTTGCGATGCAAAACAAATGGTTTATTGCTCATCTGCTTGTACTCGCAGTGGCTGTTACACAATGTGGACGTCTTTTTATATAGTCCATGATTGCAGTGCATCGCAGTGGAAGTGATATAGAGTAGTGGCGCTGTATTAACCAGCAAACGATATCTCAGCAAGATGGCTGGACTCATAATGGCCTAACTACAGCCAAAGGACTCCCCCTCTAGAACCGTCGGTCATTTTGATTCAGGGCC